TTTCAGGGCAGGAAGGAAGTGGGTGGGATGGGATGGGATGGGATGGGATGGGATGGGATGGGATGGGATGAGATGGCAGGTGGTAGTGGGCAGGGGGTGGCACTGAGGTAGTGATGGGCATGGGGTGATATGGTAGGAGACAGGGGGCAGGAAGTTCTCAGGGAAGGCAGACCCAATAGCTAACACAGATGTCGCTTTCCATCCCCCTGTGCTCAGCCCCAAAGCCTGGTCACTGGAACCTTGGAGGCCCTGGACTCCAACTGCTGCTGCTTAATGCCAGATTGATCAGCAATAAAGCTCACCTCATCCATGATTTGATCGTGGATGAGAGAGCTGACCTGGCCTGCCTTACTGAGATCTGGCACAGAAGGGAGTGTTCCTCTCTCAGAAATGTGCTTCCCCAGGTTTCAAGTGTGGCGCCAGCCACAACTCCAGGGCAGGAATCTCTAGTGGCCTTTGGGGCACTGTCCCAGACATAGTTGGATACCAGGTTGTCTTTGTGAAGTTGGGTCACAGGGATCAGTTGGGCTTGCTGCTTACTCCCTGTGGGGTGGCAGTGGCCAAGCCTGGGCTCATGGACTCCATGTTGGTTGGCAGTGGAGTTCCCAGGTATATGGTTCCTGCCTTCTCTGGGCCTGGAGTCAAAGGTGGCCCAGGAGTTCATGGCCACTGTGGCAGCCATGGAACTGGCCCAGCTTATTGACAGCCCAACTCAGAGGGTTTTTTTCTGCAGGGTGCCTCAGGGCTCAAGTTTCTCCCCTCCTATTTAAATTCTATATGAAGCTGCTGGGAGAGGTCATCTGCCAGCATAGGGTTCAGCATCATCAGTATGCTGATGATACCCAATTATACATCTCTACCCTATGCCAGGCACATCATGCTGTTCAGGTGCTGACTGAGTGCCTGGAGGCTGTAAGGACCTGGAGAAACCAGCTATGACTCAACCCTAGCAAGATGGAGTGGTTGTGGGGTTTCGCCCCCAGGTCAGGAGAGTTGACATCTCTAACTCTGGATGAGGTAACACTCCCCCATACAGATCTGGTGTGCAATTTCGGGTCCTTTTGGACTCACGGCTCCTGCTGGAAGAGCAAGTGGCAGCCATGGCCAGGGGGCCTTTGCACAAATCCATCTTGTGCACCAATTGCACCCATTCCTGGATTGGGAGGCCTTGCTCACAGTCACCCATGCCTTAGTCACCTCCCATTTGGATTACTGAAATGTGGTCTACATGCAGTTGTCCTCGAAGTCCATCTGTAACCTGCAACTGGTCCAGAATGCAGTGGCACATACAGTTTTGTGTGCCCCACGGTTCACCCAAAGCACCCCACTGCTTCATAAGCTGTACTGGCTTCCAGTTGCTTTCTGGGTACAATTCAAGGTGCTGGTTATCACCTTTAAAGCCCTACATGGCACAGGGCCAGGTTGCTTGTGAGACTGCCTCTCTCTGAGGGTATCTGCCCATCCTACTAGGTTAGATAGGATGGGTGTGCTCCTGATCACCTCCCTTAAATGATGCTATCTGATGGGACCTTGGAGGCATGCCTTCTTGGAACAGCTTCCCACCAGAGATCAGAGGAACCCCTACCCTTTTAGCCTTCCAGAGGGCTGTGAAGACCTGGCTTTTCCCCCAAGCACTGGGCTAGGATGGAGGTTGACTGTGAGGATGTTTGGTCTGGCACCTGGAGGGGAAAGGTACCTTTGTTTTTAACTATGTTTTATGGATTGTTGTGAGCCTCCTAGAGTCATTGTACAAGATAGGCTGCCAAATAAGTCCTATAAGTAAATAAATAAAAAAGAATTCAGCATTTTATGCATGAATTCTGTGGCACATTATTTTGTGAGTTGTTAATGTGATAGTATTATATTCTGTATTTTTAGAGCCTATGAGAACACCCAAGACTTTAAAAATTGCCGAGATCCAGGCACGTCGTATTGCTGTGGATTGGGAATCCCTGGGTTACAACATCACCCGCTGCCATACCTTCAATGTTACCATCTGCTACCATTACTTCCATGGCCACAATGGAAGCAAAGCTGACTGCTTGGACATGGATCCCAAAGCACCACAGCATGTTGTGAATCACCTGCCTCCTTACACAAACGTGAGCCTCAAAATGATTTTGACAAATCCTGAAGGACGGAAAGAGAGTGAGGAGACCATTATTCAAACAGATGAAGATGGTATGTTCAGCTTTATTCCTTAGCATGTAGAACTAACTGGTTATTGTGATGTGTGGCTCTCCTACCTCTAGCTTCTCATGTTCCAAATACCTTGTGAATAAAAAAAAATGTCATTTTGAGACAATATTTACATAATCTTAATGTAAATATCTTGAATCTAGCTTTTAAAAATTCTTTTGAATGCCTAAGATTTTGGAAAGAGAAAATAAATCGGGGGCCTTGGACGCATAACATTTGTGCTGTCCCAGATAACCCTCTTGCACAGAGGATTTCTCATCGCTGGGTGGCAGAGCCAGTTAATTTCCTGCCCAGCACCAGTGCAGGAAGAATGACTTTATACTGTATATTCAATTCTACAAGTGAAGAACTGAAACTTGGAGATGGGTGTTCCTCCATTGGAAGAAGCTCCTATCCTCTCTTCCTCTCCAGCTTTCCCATCTCCCTGCTTGGGTTATGGTGCCACAGTACTATGGTACCTTTTCACTTGTTTTTTTAAAATAAGCAGGGTACACCAACTAGCTGCTTCTTACAGTAGCTAATTTTTTTAAAAACTGGTTTTAAAACCACATGCAAAGTTGGAATGATGATGGGCAGGGAGCTGAAAGGCTAACAATGTTTATGCTTCCCTATTAGCTATATAAGAGTGTTGAGGGAACTACAACTACTTTTATAAAAGACTGGAAACACTTTATAGACTTTTTGCTGAAAATGGGTAAAAATGAACTGCTGATTTTGGGATTTATTGATTTAAAAGTTTTGTTTATGGGAAGAAGGGAATGACGATATGCAATATGGGAGGGTGGAGGTGGTAATTGCTATGTTTGTAACTGCTGCAAAGAAGATCGGAAGTTGCTTCTTCAGATATTTTTCTTTTTCTTGCTTTTTTGTTATTCTGCACTTTTTCTTTTACTCTTCCATATTTTTTTCTATTTCTTCTAAGTTTCTGTAATTTTTAAAACCTTTGTAAAAATCTTCTTTTCGTAAAAATTATTCATAAAGAATAAGAGTGCTGAGGACAATGATGGGGCGCTGCGAATAAGTCTGTGTCAGACTGGATCATAGAAATGGTGAGCGTGTAGTGCACTTCCAGTTTTGTTGTAGAAGAAGGATGACTCCACTGAAAGTGGCGCATTGTCCACTTTGTTGGATATTGATTGGTATTCCTAATTAAAATGAAAACAACTCTTCAACTCTTGTGGGGTTATGTGGGCGGAAATCATTCCCAGTGTCCGTATGATGATCAGCAATGTATATACAGAAACTTTATTCATGTTCATATGAATATAAGTGACATTCCACTTATTACTTGCATACTCTAATGATAGACTCAGCTATTAGCATAGCTTCTCTTCACACTTTGCTCAAGAAAGAAAAACCTGAGCTGAATGGTTGGAGTTAGTATGTGCAGGGATGTTGGGAACAGAGCCTTACATGAAGTGCACACGCATGTTCTTAGATGTATGTAAAATGCATTGATGGGCTTAAAGTCAAACAGGTCTTTAGTTACATAAAGCCAAACATAGTAGGAGAAATTGGGAGAGAAAGGGAGAGAGACAGCTTATCCATTAATTCTGATTCCAAGATTCTATGCGAACCAGTCCATAGAAATTTCAATTATATTTCAACATTTGTTTAAAGATCCAAGTAACACCAACAAATTCCTGAACTGGTAGTCCTCAGTTAACAACCATAATTGGGACCAACAACTTCATCGCTAAGCAATGCAGTCGTAAAGCGCAAAATCACATGACTGCGCCAACTTACAACAGCAGTTCTGGTTGTGGTCATTAAGCGAATCACACAGGTCATTAAGCATGATGTCACATGACTGCAACTTGCGACTTCCTGCCTGCATTCCCAATTACTTTGATTGTCAGAAACCTGCAGTGAAGGTTGAAGGTTGCGTGACTGCAGGAAGCTGCAACCATTATAATTACATGCTGGTTACTAAGCACCTGAATAGTGATCACGTGACTGCAGGGATGCTGTGATGATCGCAACTTCGAGGACCAGTTGTAAGTCTCGTCATTTAGCACCTTCGTAACTTTGAACAGTCACTGAATGAGTGATCACTAAGTGAGGACTACCTGCATATACTTTTATGTTCTTCCTACTCCCTCAGTAATTATAAACTGCATAACTGAGATTTCTGACTTAAAATAATCTTCATTTAATTCTGCTTACAAATTAGCTTTATTTATCATATTTGAGGGAAAATAAAGGATGCTTTAGATGTTTACAAAGCTCTTCAGTGATTATCCTTTATGAATCTTAATTTCAAGCAAATTAAAATAGAATTAAACATTCCTAATTACATGGAAATGATAATATATGAAAGTAGCTTAATGTTCATACAGTTGAGTTTGCGACTAACTGCATATTCACATTGCAAATATTCATATTAAAACTGTGGTACACAATCCGATTTTCACATTATATACTTCTGGGAAACCCAACCAGGTTATCTTATTGACATCAACAGAAAGGGCGGTAGAAATGCTTCACTGGAATAAACTTCAGAAACTGCAGCAAGGAATTTCAACTAAAGTTTAATATACTGTCCAGAGAGACAAATCAGAATTTGTAAACCATGGAATATATTGATTATGATTTATAGCAATGCCTAATTCAGTAAATCTTGGCTGTAGTCATGGTTGTATTTCCAGAAGCCAAAATAACTTAGAAATGTTGAACATATGGGAAAAGAAAGACAAGCAGCTCTAAACTATGGTTTCTCTGACTGGAAACTTGCACAATGATTGATATGCACCATAATGATTTGATATGATATCCAGCTGAGCTGGAAGAAGAGGGAATAGGGACAAATGAGCATATATAACTTGTGAATCTTTGTTGAAACTAAAAGACTTTAGAATAACTTTTATATATATTTCAGTGATGTCAGTGTTTGTGATCCATACAGTAGATGGCTTTGTGAAGGAGCAGCCATAGTTTATGAGATTAAAGCAAGCTAGACAACATTATGGAATGCTGACAGTAGTCACCTGCTATGATAGCTAAGTGCTACATCCTGTATCAATGCAGCAGCATGCTTCTAAATACCAGTTACTGGGGGAAAACAGCCAGAGTGTCCTATTGACTCATGTTCTGTTTAAGACTTCCTATGGGCATCTGGTTGGCTACTGTGGAAACAAGTTGCTAGAGTAGATGATTCTGGTTTGAACCAGCAGAACTTATATTCTTAACTGGGGTGTTGTACTTCAATAATATTTCCCAATACAGTGGTTTGATATTCATAATAAAGTACCATAAAAGAATTCTATAATCCCCAGAAGGTACAATTATACTTTTATCACTTGAAAGTGAATGGCAGTCATTCAACTGGGACAAAGTAGGCAGTTGTTCTGAGGTATGCCACTGAAATACGCCCAGAAACATACTACCCTGCTCTGACACTAGGTATCACTTTTAGTTTATTTCAACACGTGTCCTCAGATACAGTGCTTTTAAGTCAGTGGAGCCATCAAATTTCATGGAAGAAGTAACATGCTAATAATTTCCCTGTTCCTAAACAGATCAAAAGAGGTAATCAATAGCAGTGTGGAATGGTGATTATTCCCCTCATTGTAACTGGTTCCCCAGTTTGCTTTCTTCTATATGTGTGATTCACTTCCATTGACTTTCTCAGGCAAAGCAAGCAGAACATTGTTGGGAAATGGAACTAAAACATGCCCTCTTTCCTTGATTATAGAGGGACATTTGTGGAGTGGGGGGAGGGGTGATCGGGGATTTGAACCCATTGCGCGGCTAAATTGCAATTAAATGTGTCCATTCCAAAGCACCCATGAGCAGAGATTGATTTTAAAAATTTAAAAGCAGGGAGAGGAGACTAAGCAATGCAAAACAGGAACAGCTGGTTCAAAACTGTGAACCCTTCATTTTGTATATGAGATGAATGGCAAACAGAGTTCAAGTCCTTGGATCGTTGATACCTGAGAAGTTTGACAATGGACATATTTGTTTGTGAACTCTTGTTTTTTATAAACACGAATAAAGCTGGCAGTTCATCTCCTGGGTTGTTCATAGCATTTATCCTGCTTATATAGGATCCATTTGTTTCACATTATGCTCACCTAGTCCTCACAGTGAAGCTATCAGTGCATGGTGCAATGAGGGCTTTGTTTTTCAGCCAGCTTGTCACGGAGCCTGACAATGAGTAAGGCTGAGAGGGAGGGACTGGCCCAAAGACACCCAGTTGGCTTCTGTGCCTAGGGGAAGACTAGAAGTGGGTCTCTGGGCCCCTAATCCAGCATCTTAACATACACCACACTAGCTCTCAGTTAATCTCCTGGGTACAGGATCAAAATGTCCTTAAAGTTATGTGTCTGCATATTTCCAATTTCTTTTAATGTACTTTGTGGCTGGAAGTTACTTTGCATTTACCTATCTGTATATATTATTTATGCCTAATAGCTCATAGTAAACAAAGGTGCAACTAAGCTATACCGTTGTGCTGTTTTCCATCCTTTTCATTTTCACTAGCAAAATATTTGAATGTCAAAATGTAGCATATGAGCCAGCTGCAGATTCTTTTCCCCTCTCTCAGATATCCATATAAAGAAATGTGGAACTATGAGGAAATACATAAATCATCTGCAGACCCAGCATTGCCAACTCCAGATGCTTAAAAACCTCTGATTTATATACCTACAACATTTGTAATACAAATGTGGAATTTTATATATTTGCACATTGGGTTCTCAAATGCTCTTCTGACAGCCTCATATTTCCATCTAGCACACTTCTGTGCATCATTTGCTGTAGTCAAATCCAGAAATATAAAAGAATAAATCTTCAGAAGAGAAGATAGAGAATTGAGGTAGCATTGTCAGAAGATGCACGAACACCAGTTCAAGATCTGATGGGGACAGAACAAGACCACGTAGTTTGCAGATATTTATCTTTCATTTGGTTTTATAAAGTCAGAAATAAGCAATCTGGATATAAGCTGAGCCTCACTCTGAGGAGTCAAGTTTCATTTTTCACGGGCTTTATTGTTTGTTTGTTTGCATGGTTCACTGGGCATTTTCCTACCTCCCAACAGATACCTTGGCATAGCCAAAATGAAAAGAACCAAAAACAAGCATTTTTTCTCTCTGGACCTGCATTTTCAAAAGCATTCTAAGTAACAACTCTTAACACAATATGAGGGGTGCCTTATATCAGTGTTCAATATATGTGCACCCCCGACTGTTCGTATTTCCATGTTCTACTCCTATTTACCACTCTGGGTTTAAGGAAAGGGCTCACTTGAATAACTGACATTGTGCTCCCTACTCTCAGAGTGAAGAGTTGATAGGTGACTGGATGGTTATTCTCTGGCAGGCAAACCTTTGATTTTCCTGTTTTCCATCACCTTCACCATAGCCAAAACCCTGGGGTCATTTGGCTATGTGCCTGCACAGTGCTTTTTCCCTTCAGCACTATTCTTCCGAAGGTTGGGTCCTCAGACACTTGCGCGAATCTTCTCCTGATCTTGAAGGGGAAAATTCCCCATGACCCAATTTACAAGTGGAGACAGCACAATTTGCTTGAGCCAAGTTTATTTGAACACCACTGGGGTCAGCATACAAGGTTCTGCCCACTTAAGGAGGGTACAAAGAACCTTTATATAGTCATATAATAAATGCTGACCAGTAATGGTATCAAATGCCAATCATCTTATTTTTGATAATATGGGTTAGATTTTCTTATAATGAAAATACACAGTTAATAAAGCAGAGGTTGGCACAAATCAGTTTTTGTGGTTAGTTACTTTCTGGTTCCCATTTAAAAATACAAATGCTGATTTAAGATAACCCATGAGCCAACATCTGCAAATGCCTAAACAAGTCATTAAGGAGACTTACTTGAGTTCAGGGGCTTTGGTAGTTTGAAGTTCTTGGTTCAGGTATTTGTTTTACTCTTTCAATCTTATCCATCGTCCCCAGCTGTTAAAACCTGGTTTGGGTCCCAGACCTCGAGTTGATGTAGTAATGTACTGTTGCACTTCTGAGGCCCCTATTTTGTTTGTGTTGTTTGTAAGATTATTTTAGTCTGGGCAGTTTTATGTTTTATCTGTTTTTATGGATTTTTTGATTTTGTATGCCACCCAGAGTCCATTGGAGTTGGGCGGCTCTAATACATTTGAATAAATAAAACCCCAGAAGTCCTACTTAATGTCAACTATTCAGCCAATCTTACCCTGGGTAGCAAGCTACCATACACAGTCTATCTTCAACAGCTAGTAGAGTTGCCCAGTTTGTTTTAGCCATGATAGCATTTCTAGCTACCAGCCAGCTCCTCTGTTACTCAGCTTTTTCCTCCTAGAATTCTCTTCAATCATAATGTGTCATCTGGAAGTTTTAACATTTCCTCCCTTGATGCAAGCTCCATATCTGCTCCTCTGCCTATTAACATGATGTTCTACAAATAGCTAAACTATTTTCTCTTTCCAGCTCCTTATCAGCAAAGCACAAAGCTAACAGAAATTGTTTGGCTGCTTTCTCTCCTCTAACACCCACTCCTGAATCCACACAGGTATATGGATCCATGACTAGTCAGCACCAAAGCAGGGCTGACAACTGGCTTATCACATTCATTATTATCATGATTTGGCAGAAAGGGCAAGGCCTCTTAAGACTTATTAATTGGAGAAATTAGGAAAGTTTATTGGAGAAGTGAGAGGCTGGTCAAGAGCCATGGTGGCTAATCAACTTTTATGAATTTCCAATATAAAAGGGCAAAAATACTCAATTAGCACCTGGATAATACTGGCAAACAATGGTGCTAATACAACCATAAGATTTCTAAGGCATAGAAAAAAATGGAGGAGCTTAATTGGGCTACAACTGCATTTAGTTGCCCTGCATGCTATCAGTGATTAGAACAGAAGGTAGAGGTAAGCAGCATTTCCTCCTCCTCTCTTTCTGTGATGAGACTTCCACTCCTTTCCTTTCTGCCTGGCACTTTCTTCTCTTTACAGGTAGTCCTCATTTAGCAACCACAATTTGGACTGGTAACTCAGTCATTAAGTGAAGCAGTTGCTAAGTGAAATTGTGACTGTGCTTATGATCTTAGTTCAGCTTTCCTTTGCAGCGAAGGTCATAAATGCAAGGATTGGTTGTAAAGTTACTTTTTCATCACTGTTGTAACTGCAAATGTCACTAAATGAAGCATTTGCTAAATGAGGACTACATGTATGTTCTTCTCTCTCTTGCCTAGTTCCTTGTTGGTGAAGGAAGAAGCCCCTCTGAGGGCTCTTGATTTTAAGACATATGAAATTAGGCCCAGGGCCACAGTTAATCCTCTACTGATCTAAGTCTAGACCTCAGTAATGGAATTTTTCAAGTTACTGCTTTTTTGTTAATGCAGTGTAACTAAATAACATCAGTAAGGCAATGGAACCAAAGTTGTGATTGGGTGTGGGGATGGATTTCAAATGCTAATCTGCACTGATAACCAGTTTTTTAACTGGATTCTAGTTTCGTTCTCACTGCATTATGATGATTCCCAATCCTTTGATTTTATATGCAGTCACAAAGCCCTGAACATGCAGCCTTGGTGCCTGAATTTGTAATGAATAATCCAGCTTTGCACATAATATAATTCTGTTAATTTACTCGGTACATTGCAGTGCAGTTATTGATCATGTGTGCCAAAAGAAATCTACCACCTGGGCCAAACCATGTGCCTTGCAATACAAAGTTCCTTTGAACTGTAGTCAAGAGAAACAAATGACATTCCCATAGAAAACAGAACAATGCCTACAGGAATTCAGCAACCGCCACAGAGCAGCCCAGAAGGACTGTCAAGGCGCATCAGCTATGATCTGCTGTGATATTTTTGTCAGAGTTGTGAGGCAAAGAACAGCAGTCTGAAATAGACTTATGGATGAATATATTTCATGAAAGATGAGTGTTCTAAATTCCATCTGTGTACCTATGGTGGCTTTACATTTTGAATTTATTTTTACTTTATCAAATTACATTAGATGTCCAAGGGGCAACTTATTATTTATAGTTTCATATAATCTGAAATAAATCTGACACCAGTAAAGGACCTCCTGCTATTTCTTAATGCTGCTGGCACATTGCATGATATTTTCTTTGATCCATTAACTTTATTTTTTTGCTTTTACAAAATTGCTATATGTTTTGAAAATCTTTAGGAAATGTTATATGTGAATTTATGTATGTTGAATTAAAGCACGAGAAAAAACTAATTTAAAAAGCTATGTGAATATAGATTTAGGTGTTTAAATAAAAGCAAATTGTTGCCCACCTGAGTGTTTTCCAATATACATTTCTTCTCAGATTATCTGCTGATACCCACAAAGAGCTATGAGTTGTTTTATAGATGCCTTATAGAACTGAAATCCAGAATAATTTAAATATTATTTATTTTCTTGGCTGTTATTTAAATAGCAACATCTCATACATACACAAATATACTTAATGTAGTTTTCAGCAGCCACAGGCTAGTTAAACTAGGAGCAGGTGGAATATAAATAAATGAATGGCAACATGGTATACCATTAATTTTATTTTTTGCAGTGCCCGGTCCTGTACCTACAAAATCGTTAAAAGGAACTCCCTTTGAAGACAAGATCTTCTTAAACTGGAAAGAACCGATGGATCCAAATGGTATCATCACCCAGTATGAGGTAGTAATAAAACTGGATTGGGCAAAAACACATAGGTTTATTTCTGACAAAAAAAGAAAAGTAAACCACTGATGACATTTTGATCTGGATCCTGAAATAGGCCATGGGTTATGAGGTTCCCCAAGCCTTTTTTTTTTTTTTTTTTC